AAGTATCGCAAACGAACTTATAATATAATCAAAAAGGATTACCTTATCGTATATGTAATAGATAATTTGTTAGGCGCTGAATTGAATCGGTGAACTCGCGTTGCGAATTAATTTTACAACTCACCGCAAAACCGGACACGAACGTAACGGAGATGCATGGTTTTTTAAAATCCCCTATACACGCTCTGTTTCCGCAAAAACTCGTTAGCTTTCTGTAAACGGCGATAGTTTCGTTATTTTTTACGCCGTTAAAATAATTCTCCGAAGATTACGAAATGAGACCTTGACTTAGAAGGCCGGTTTTCACAGTTACGTTTATGAAAACACCGCGTCCGGAACTGCAAACTGTGAAACGTGAAACACGCGATGGAATATTGATAATGTGAATGAAACTGCAGTTGCCCGCAAAACATTTACTGTTACTTCATTTGAAATTGAAAAATGCATAGTAAAAAGTAACTTGCAATTATGATTATATCAAAGTATCTAGATATTTTTGTAGTTACGTTCAACAATTACCACTTGAACCGCAATCTGATCCCTATACTGCTACACAACCATTTCATAGAGCCACTGTTTCTTGTGTACGGCAAATATACAATTCCGTTCATAGAAAGCATAAATCAAACGCATTTCATGATGAATGTACAAATACATATTTAAGTTTTTAATTTTGTGAAACTTTGAATTAGTCAGTCAATCTTGGAAAAGTATAGTTCAATGTTAATTATATTATATAATAAATGGATATAATTATTATTACTGCATATTACTACATTATTAATATTTATGTAGCTATAATCAAATACCTATATTATGTAGATAAGTATACTATATTACTACATACCTGTTATGTATTACAAAATCATCATTATCTATATTATTATTATAACTATTTCTACATTGTATATTATAATATTACATAATCATTATTGTATGTATTACTATATAAATATTCTATTATAGATATTGCTATATAATTATTAATCCATATTATTGCATAGCTATTATTATGTGATATAACTACATAACCTCTAAATACATACGTTACTTTTCTTTAACAAAATTCAAATCACTAATTTTAACTGTATAATACAAAGCATTTAAAATTGTAATACTTACAGAAACAGTTGTTATACATTTTTTGTTCACTAACAAAGAATTTAATTTCTAAGGAAATTGTTTCAAGTTTCCCACAATGTTTTTTTATTATTTGTATTACAGGTGACAGCTAAAAGGGGAAGTAACGCGTTACAAAAGGAAAGGATTTGCAAAGGAAGATACGTTCCAAAGACATGGTATATCTACCAATGACAATTTCACGCACAGCTGACTTCGTTAACCCCTTACTGTCAGTTAGTTCCTGCCTAAAGCAACAGGTGGTCGTCGATGTTGCGTGTTGATTGTGAAAATGGCGAATAATTTTGCATTTTGCGACTGCTGGTCCCACATTTCAGAAGATCTATTCCTGTTTGAAACATTTAACTTCCTACATTCCTTTTTATTATTTAAAATGAAACTTAATAAATCTGTACTGGAAAATTTACTCAGAGTGAAATTATTATTTTTCGAGATATAAGAAGAAAATGAACAACGAAGGAGAAGACAGGTGTGTTATAATAATTGAGAGTTATCATGCATTATTAGAATATTAAAAAGTATTTGATTGTATGAGACACTTTTGTATTTGACAAGCGATCAAATTTTCTTGAGCAAACAGTCACAGATGCATGGTGAAACCTTCACTTACACCGCCATTTTCTCTAGGAAAGCTTGCATTTGACATTGTTCACTTTTGAAAATAGAAATTCTTCGCAAACCATTCAATTATAATACGTTATTTTCTCAAGTTTCAAAATTTTTAAGTTCCAACGTTCTAACATTACAAAGGGTATAGCCGGATAAGGTAGTCAAATGTGCCCTTGAGTCGAATTAGAAACCCCATTCGTCAGTCGGTAGCATATCCAAAAAAAACATCTCACACCAAGTTTCAACCCCCTATCTCATCCGTGGGGGTAGTAAAAGGGAAAAAACGAAATTCCGGTTTTTGGCCTATTTTGCCTATTTAATTTCGTATAAAAATTCTGAAAAAATTCTAAAACATTGAGGTCCAGATAGCGCATATTATAGAATTTTTTCAGATTTTTTTATCGCAAATTGTAATCGTGAAAAATCAAAAACTGAAAAAAAATCCGAAAAAATGCGATTTTTTATTGAAGATGTCGGAGCACTACTTTTATATTAATATGGTAGTTAGATATTAGTACAACTATTATTCTCTAATTTTTTCAAATTTTTCGGCGAGGTGTGCCATAGTTAAAAAAATCAAAAACCGATTTTTTCGCGTAAAAAACAAACTTCTGCTTCTGAATATGCTACCGACTGACGAATTGGGTTTCTAATTCGACTCAAGGGCACATTTGACTACCTTATCCGGCTATACCCTTTTGCAAAATTCCAAAATTCTAAAGTATCAAACTTTAAAACTTGATATACTCTTCCAACGATCCAATGCTTAAAAATTCCAAGATTACAACGTTTCAGAAACTTAAAATCTGCGAAATTTAATAAGTCTAAAATTTCAAAACCTCAAAATTAAAAAATTTTAAAGTTGAAAAATTATATTTTTCGATATTTTCGAACCTTGAAAATTTTAAAGTACTCAGGTCTCAAAGCCCCAAAATTCCAAAGCTTTCAAGATTCTAAAACTCAAAATTCTAAAGTATAAAAATTTCGAAATTCATAATCTATAAAATGGTAAAATTAAAAAGCTCAAAATTAAAAAACTGTAAGGTATCAAAAAGTTGTCAAATACCAAAATACCAAAATTCCAAATTCTGAAAATTGTTAAAAATACCCACAGTTCTTAGAATTGAAAAATACCAAAATTAGGGAACGAATGAATGAACGATACAAAATGATAAATAAGCAATTTAATAATTACCTGAAATCTAGTCTATTTATCATATCACTACCATAAATCAAAGTGGTATGTACAAATAAAATACAAAGAACTCTTTACCAATCCTTTAGTATCTCATATATTGTTTGACAGGGATTTTACAGGTGTACATTAATGGGAACAACATCTATGTGTGGCTCGTCTTAAATACAGCCGTACTTTCTCTTCGTCACGCTACAAATCGTTTTAGTACGTGTTCGATACAATTTCAGCCATCTAATTATGATCGGTAGACTTCGTTCCTATACATACGGTAGACAGATATACAAAAACATCGTATCGTACAAAATAGTAGCAGTAGTATCACCACCAGTTTCGTTCCCACGGATTCTTCTCTTATGTACGGCACCTCTCATTGACCTCTGAACTCTTCAAGCTTATCGTTAATTCGTAGCAAACCTTATAAAAATACCATCTTCTAACCCTTTACTTGGCTATCTTCGTCGCTTTTTTTCTTCTTTTATTTGTTTTTTTTTATTTTCTTAACATCTCACTCCCTTTTAACCCATTAACACCCAAGGACGTGTATACCTAACACTTTGTTGTGGCATTTTTGGTCACAAATTTTACCTTCCTTTTTTATTTATTTAGTAATATAAACAAATACTTGTTTATCTTAAAACGTTCACTGCAAAGTTTGTATAGGTCGCTAAGTATCGTAATTTTTAAACATTAATGGTAGCACGCGATATCGCGTGATGGGACACAGTAGACAGTCCAGTACGCGATGTCGAGTGGACAGCAGTGAACGTGTTAATTACCTACTTGCAGGTATTTTTGTTTACAATAGAAAGAACTATCTTGAAAATATATTTTCGAAATCTGGGAATTAATGGGTTAATGAATAGAAGAAATGTAATAGAATTTAAATAGCAAATTTGACAAGCTTTCAAAAAAGATTTTAAGTATTCTGCAGTAATTCTATACGTTTTACATTCTCACATCTTTCTCAATTTCAATATATCGCGTTTTAACAAATATCATGGATGACTTATAACATTTGTAGAAAGCGCTTTAAGAAAATTATTTCAATTAATTGCAACTATTAAACGTATAAAATAATTACTTTTACTCGAAACATTTCGTATAAAAGTAAAAATAATTTTCGTGTCAAACACAGAATAAACAAAATCATTCTGATTGTTCCTATAAATTGCCAAATAAAGGGTTAAAATGCTATCCCCACCCCCAGAGCAAAGGATCGAAACGATGACAATGATTCGCGTTGTTTACTATGACTGGTTCCATTCGTGACTCTCGCGAACAAAAATTCATCAATAAATCTGCATACCGTACACAAAAAGATGAAAAAACAATCGACAAACCATGGATGGTAGCCTTATATATACAAAAAAAAGGAAACAAAACTTGATTCCTCGATAACGAACATGTTTTCTCGTGTTTCTCTTTAGTCTTTTGTACTGTTTCGACTCGAAGGATATGAACAATTCATTCTGAAACATTTAGGGACCATGGGCTTACCTAGAGGGGTGCAGAGAAGATAGTCTTTATCTTTCTTTATAAAAAATCAATTAAACTTTGTTTGAAGAGAAAGTTAAATTAGAGTTGAATTAACAATTAAAACTAAAATTCATTTAAAATTATACACTGAATATTTAGATAAATTTTGTTACCCTTATAAGAAAAAAATTAGATTGTAATTGTGTTAAATAATATTCCGTACGTAAAAAATAAATATAAAATTTATTTAAACTAATATGATGAATTTTACTTTAAAATAAATTTTGTAACCCCCTTATAAAAGAAATTAAAATTATAACTGTATCAACAATTTTATATTACACTTGTATGAATTTTATCTAAAAAACATATTAATATGTTGATTATAGACATAAATTTAAACTCTATTTAAAGTAATATAATAAAATATACCGTAAACTACATGTAGCCACCCCCATGATGGCCCAGTTACGCCCGTGTTAAGGACACGTTTTTACATTAAAAAGAAAAAGAAAAGCGGAAGAGACAAAACGGAAATGAATAAAAGTGCGTACTCCGGAACCAAAACGGTCGGGAATGTTGTACTATGATCCAAGATTTTATTAAACAAATTAAATACAAAAGGTTGCTTTCCTCTGTTCCGTGTTCCTCGTGCCGACTACGACCCGCAGTCGTTTCATCTCGAGTTAATATAAATAATTAAAACAATAGAAGAGAATGATGCGGGGATAAGAGGCATTAAATAAAAACAAAAGAGTTGGTCAAAGGATGATAAGGGCGGTTCGTGGAAGAAGAAGATTCAAAAAACTTGTCTATAATCTTCAGACTCTCGCTCTCGTTTGCTCCTTGATAAACATTCTTACATTCTCACGTTACACAAACTCCATAAGGTAGTTTTATAAAATTAAAGGAAGAAGGATTCGAGCTTCAGCAATTCAAGATTATCAACGTTTTCAACGCTCTCAACGTCTCTTTCAACGTTTTCTATTCGTATGCGAACGATTCCATTCATTTTTAAAGATTTCCTTATTTCATTTTAATATTCAACACTTTACCTACCGGACACCTACTTATTAATAAGCTTCTTGGATTCTTTGTTATTGATTGAATATTAATTAATAGATCATTGATCAATCATTACTATTTAGTTTTAATTCAGATAAAAAGAGGAAAGTTATGTAGAATTAAGATGAAATGAAACATGAAATTAAAATTAAGGTTACTGTTTTTAATCTTTGGTTATTACTACGTTATGCACTGACAGTATTTATTCATTTATTTGCAAATGGTAGGTAACGTGTTAAAATATCTACTTTGTATTATCTTAACATTTGTCATATATACGATAAAATAACTTCTTTGTTCATTTTTTGTTGTGTGTACAAGGAAATACAAGACCATTTTAAGTTGAAATGTGATCAGTTAATTGAATGATCGCAATAGTTGTTATTAGGTTGTTGTATAACAGATGGTCAAAGTAAAAAAAATTAATACAATTTAATTACTTAAGAATACTGTGAAAATAACACTTATGTCACATCAAATTGAAGCTTAATGTTTGATGAAAACGGCGACATTAAGATTATAAAATGGATGATTAAAACATAGATGTACATAAAGTGTACAATTATATATAATAGCATATAAAGTATACAAATGTACATAATGGCACATACAGTATAAAATTGCATATGATAATACATAAAGTACACAATTTCAATCATTATCAAATATTTTTAAAAAACTTATAGCAATTGAAATTTTCATAAATATGCCATTCATTTACAACAACCCAATATTAAAACGGTCAATCACGTTACCAATTTGTAACTGTTTCATTAACAAGCTCCTCCATAATCAAATTATCCTTAACAAATTAATCGATCGCAGATCAAATATCAAATAAACATAAAAAAACCTAAAAAATTGTTGGGTCGACAAAGTTCAACGTTAAAAACAGCCAATCGAATCCTCAAGAAAAATGGAATCGCGAAATATCAAGATATAAATGCTCCCTGGAATGGATCGTACATGCTTGAACCGCCAAAGGCACAAAAGTGAAACAAGAGAGAAAAAGAAGAACAAGAAGGAAGATCTCTAAGAAACGTTGAAAAGAAAGGCAAAAGGGAGAGGATGTTGGCCTTGCAAACGTTTGAAGAAACGGAAATAGCGTCACTATCTTTTGACCGTCTCGTCTATTTCCTTCGACGCTCTCGAGTTACGAACAACTTTGCGGTCGATAAATTCTAGACATTACAGCATTACCTCTTTAAATGTCTACCTTCAATTTCTACCTTCAATTTTAGTGACATATTTGTGGATTTGATATTGTCTTTGAATTCTTTAAGAATAAGACACCACTAAATATACATTTCATTATTACTTATAATAATGAAGATGACACGATATTCGCTTCAGAAGGTAGAAACTGTGCCACTTAGGGAGGTATTACTATACGACACTGATAGGCAAATCCAGTGCCTGTCGGAGAGCTTATGGGCATCGGTGTGTATGTGGTGTTTCCAATAATTTGAGAACTTACACTAGGAATTTAAGAACCTACACTTTTGAAAATATAAAAAATAAAAAATTTGTAAATTTGGTAAAGTAGCAATAAGGAAATTTGGGCACTTGAGAATTTGCACATTTATAACTGAAGAAATATGAAAACCCCAAATTCTCAAACTGAAAAATTGATTATTTGTCAGTATCCCAAATTGCACACCATTTGCTTGCCCATGCTCCGTGCCCTCGCAAGCATAGTTGCTCCTCACTGCCACATCATCATAAGCCTTCTTCGAGAACGTTCAATTAATAATAATATTATTTAAAAGTCATTCAAGGATATGTACAAAGAGATATTATAATATGAATACGCAGTAAATGTCGCTGCTGCAGCTGGATCCGCGTTGTAATCGCGTCGGATCGATCGTCTCCGGCCCGGTTATCCACGGATCCCGTAGCGAGGATCAGCACGGTGTTCGACCAGCGTTTGACGTATGGATGTATTTTGCTAGATAGTACACGGTGCGAGTAACGTTCGAAAAGCAGTCATTCGCGCGCTAGACGGTAAATGATTCGCGCGAGTGGAAGCATGCTGACCACGTGGAATGTCAAGAGTTGCGCGGTAAATGCTCGAATTTCGAGCATTTTGACGACGGAGAGAGAATAGTAAGCACCGTGTTAATCCTCGAGACTCGTAACACGCGTTTCTTGCCAGATCGTTCATCGCGAATGGAGATTGCCTCGGAAGTTAGGCCCTCTCTGTAACGCGTCCTTCACAGGAGTTCTTCCAACGATCGACGAAGGACTTGTCGTTCCATTGAACGATTTGTCGAATCTAGCGGAGAAAACGTACGTTTTAATCAGTATCGATAATTATAAATAGCGAAACCGGCCCGCTTCTCGTCGATCTGGCACGGTCTCGCGATGACTCGCGATTATCTCGCCTTCGGGAACCCTCCGCCATCTTGGAAACATTCCCGTTCTCTTATTTTTCATAATACGCTCTTCTCGCAACGGCGCGGATTATACATACAGATATATATTTCTATATATATATTTTTTTTGTTTCTTTGTATATAAAATTAAGAGTACCGTGATACTGATAAAATTTCGGAAAATATTAGTTACCGATGATCCATCACCTTCGACGACAGATCGAATTCGAGCAGGTCGAGACTTCTAATAAGTTACAGGCAGATCTAAAAATTTGTTTCGATTAATAATTACATACTCGGTAAAAATAAGTTGAGCATACGCGATGCGAATCGAATTACTAATATTATGTCCGCGTTTCGACAGTGAAACGCTAATACCTTGTTGCATCCTTCGTTTCTCTTCTATCGCTCTTGCAATCGCACGTGATTTTTGTTTTTACGATATTGGTTTATTTTTGCGCTCGCAAAAGGCTAGCTCGTGTCGCGATAGAAGTAAAAAAAATAGGTACTGATCTAAGACAATGATGGGCACGTTAGGTGCATGCTGGAGAGTTTAATTTTATGTGATTCAATTTTTCGTAATTTAATTCGATGTGATAATTCAAATTGACCCTATATAATTCCACGCAATTCAGTTTGATTTAAATCAATTTGATGGAATTGAATTGGACGTACATTCAATTTGATTCGACTTATTTCAATGCGATTTAGTTCAACATTGTTGCATTCGATAGGGTCCAATTCAATACAGTTCATCTCGAAATAATACGATCCGATATACTTTAACTTAACCCGATTTAAAAATACAGATCATCAAACGCTTATTATAATATCTGTTAGTGACCTAACGTGCATACTTGCCCATCACAGCTGTAAAACAATTTCAAGACCTCAACGCACACTCCATCGTAATTTTCTACAAAAACTCGTTTCCCATAATTTCTCCAAAAATACTTTGTACTTATGATCGCATCAACAGCAGTAGTGCGCATGCGCCGAGGCGGCGTTTCCAAATTTACGTTGCGCGTCAATTATAAAATCACCGCTTCCATCGCCTGCGAACTATCAAACACTGTTATCGAAAAATAAAATGTCAAAGTCCTTCTTCTTCGACTGAGAACGCAGCTCGAAGCACACAGTAAATAATTAAAAGCTTGGAAAATCTCGCCGCGTGTACAGAAAAAGAGAAGAAAAAAGAACGAAGAAAAGAAACGTCGCTCAATGATGATGGACAACACGATGACACTCGTGTTCGTTTTGCACTAAATTCCCTCTCTCTCATTTTCTCTTACATACACACACATTCTCTCGTTCGTTACAGGCTACATTAAACACTACATGCTATGTACACCAAAAAAAAAAAGAAACGTATACTTAAACTACTCTGGGCGTTCGGGGGTTAGCCTAAAAAGTAATTATAATACAAGACACGCCGTCATTCGTACTCCCTGCGACAATTACGCGGTATATATAACATCTTTGGACTCGATTTTTATTACACATTTATAGAGAATATTACTTATGACCGTAAATTCACGCGCCTAGTCTCTCATTCTCTCTCTAAGTAGCCGCTACGTGTGAAACTCGTGGCACCTCTTTTTAAAGAGAAGTTCTTGTGTCTTTCTCAGTCTGGATACTCGGTATAGATCTATCTTTTCCTTTCATTTGTCTTTTCTGTGCTTCCTGAATCTTTCTCTTTTTAAACGGTGCTTCTGCAGAATCCTGACATACGTGTCTCTTCAGGTTCTCAGTGCCTCTTCTCTGCTTCTTCAACAGGATCCTAATAGATGTATCTCTTCAGGTTCTGAGTACCTCTTCTCTATTTCTTCTGCAGGATCTTGGCATGTCTATCTTTTCAGATTATCAATGCATGTTTTCTGTTTTTTCTGTATGGTCCTAACAGGTCTCTTCGGATTCTTAATGGTTCTTCTCAGCTTCTTTCTCATGCAATTCTGGAAGACAAGCTTCGTTCGCTTATCCAAGGATCTTCCTTGGAACCGGTATTATTGTTTGAACCTTCAACGTATACCACGTTAAAAGTACTGTGCGTTTGACGATTAATTTTATCTCTTTCGTTTCTTTGTCGTTCATGTACCCCTTTGTCAAGCTTCCTTCGGTTTTTGGAGAACAGGTACACACTAGCTGGGAAGTTCCTCTTTCACGTGGCACATGATAACGAAAGTTTGTGTTCCTCTTGGTCGCGTGAAGAAACAGTGCGATGAGGGGGTGAAACAAAAGGATGACCAGAAACTCCTCGCAGATGTCATGGACTGTTTAAACCGCTGATACTTGGGCGTCCTCGTCGTCTGAAAACAGGGACAGTGGTTGGTTCAGTTATAATTTGTGTGCTGATTCGATCGAATGCTGCATGTTTTGCTGATTGGCGTCTACTTTGGATGAATATTAACTGTTTTATACTTATATACTTGAAATTTTTAACAACAGTTTGCTGCTTAGAAAAAATGTATAATCATTAAATATTAAGATCATGTAATGTTTATTAATCTAAAATTTAAAATATTTCTTATACTATTTACATTTAATAAAATATAATATATTTGCAATAACTACAGCAATAAAAATATATTTCCAAATCAATAGATTCTAAATTTCTAATTGTAAAAATTAAAAAGCGTAGAAATCTGCATTTTACCCAACAATATATTACGAAAACTTATGCAAACTAACGACATAAAGATGAAAAAGAATCATACTCGTTAACTAAACGAAAGTCATCAAAAACGTATTCGCCAAAGTAGATTCCAGTCTCTTCGCTATAAAAAGAAATACACTACGTATAATTAATTATCATTAAATTCCTGAAAGAAACTAGCTGCATAAGGTGACGAACTCCATTCGCAAAAATCAAATCGATCCAAACGGAGAAAGGATCATGGAGCATGACGTGCAAAAAAAAAGGTGATAAGCAAACTCGACATGCCTCTTGACTCGGGGCTACGAGTAACGTATATATGCGGGGTAATTGGAACGTGTAATATCGCCACTGCAATCTTAAAAATCGCACTATTCAATTGCAAAACAAGCCTGCAGCAAGTGCACGAAACATCGATACATAATCGTAGCTCACAGACGAAAAAAACTTGAATTGCTGGACAAGATGCGTAATAAAAAAAAAGGAATAAGTGCATTGACGGAACGAATAGTACAAAATAAATGAAATGATACAAAACACGAAGTTAACAGTGATGCACACATAGAACACGCGTGTTATACAGCCACTTTTGCGTTGAATAAATAATATACAAGTGAAATAAATGCGTGGTTGCGTATGTCGTTATTTACAGTTTGCTGCGAGATTATTCAGATAAAAACATGTACATCGAATAACAAACAACGATCCCACCGTAGGAATCATTCGTCAAACGGTATATACGTGTGAGTGTGTTCATACATACATTGTATTCGATCGATAGATCGCATATAATGGTAGCTAGAGATATATAGTGTCTATTTGCATAGCTCATCCATCGGAAGAAAGAAGATTCCACGGTGACGTTCGAAGTGTTTCGTTTGGAGATACTAGAATCCTGCTCTACGACGTTTCGAATGTTTGGTCGCAACAAGAAGAGTAATCGAGCATCGTGACATTCGTCACGGTGAAAAATGTTATCGAGAAAAGTGTGAGAGCTGAATCGTTATTGAAAACTTGCGCTACATTTGGAACCAAAAGGAAATTAGATTGAAATACACTTAAAAATTTAAACCTTTCCAGACATGATACTATTTGGGATAAGAATTCCAAAAAGGGAGAAAAAAAAAAAAAAAAATTAGAAATATTATATATTTTCGTATATCAAATTGTAACTAAATGAAACCAAAATTATTATGAACACTAATTATCATTAATATAGCTCATTTAATTTTGCAATATTACGTGGGAACACTAAATATTATTATTCCCCAAAAATACCCAAATTAATATTATTATACTAATATTCATAATATAACTAGGGAGATAGGGATTTACGAATATATAGATATACGATGCTTCTAGGTATACGTAGGTATCTACAGATATAGGATTTAAGACAACAAAGATCTAGCAATATAGGAATTTAGGAATCGGAAAATCTAGGGATTCAGAAATCAAAGGCCTGAGAATATAATGAAATAGAAATATATTGATTTAGGAATCTAGAGATATAGAAATCCACAGCTCAATGAATTTAGAAATCTAGAAACCAACGAATCTAAAGGTCTAGGAATATAGAGAGCTGGAAGTCTAGGGATCTAAGGATCTTCGGATACAGAAACCTGAATATCTAGGGATATAAGGATCTACAGCGACAAGGATTTAGAAATGTAACCACCTGAGGATACAGAGAAATATAAGTCTAGTGGTTTAAAAATCTAGAAATAGAGAAATGTAAAAATATGGAAGTTGATTCTAGATGATTCATAATTCTAAAAATCCAGGAATATAAAATCCGGGAATCTAGAGATATAAGACAGGGATATACAGAGCTACATAATTAGTCTATAACTGACTCTAACAATAAGTTTAATTACTTTCCATACTGTTGTAAGCAATTAATTATGAAATACGATAATTCTTTTTAGAGTATTCAATATATCAAACTTTAAGTTCAGTAATAAAATTGTATGCATTTATACTCATGATTATATGAATAAACATATCCTATTGTTTGCAATTAGGTACATGTCTGCAAAGGTAAAGCGAAAAAACACCAAAATAAATCCACTGATCTTGCGCAGCGAATAAGCGAAACGTTGAAAAAATAAGAAATTGTATTTAACATTTTTCTCCGTGCATTATCGATAATTAATGATGGGACTGATAGGACAGAACTATGCAATTATTATCAAATCAATTCAGAGATATCTAAAGGAAATCTAACTTGTTAATATTTCACATTCGTTAATATTATATCAAACAATAATAAATAACGATTAAAGTCAGTATCGATACTACGAACAATATTTAAAATGTAAATTATTTTATAGAATTAATAAATAATTAAGAAAATTACTAACTATTACTGCTTAATTGGATAAATTACTAATTACTACTGTTTAATTTGATAAATTACTAATAAATTACTGTTAAATAGATAAATTATTGATTTAAAATAAAAATTTAATTGAAATTACTCAAACTGTCATTCTTGTGATCTACATACAAACTTTAATCTACTCTAGTTAAGTTACCAAAATCGCATCACTAATTTTGTTCTGTCACTATTTTCTCAATGATAAAGCTATCATTACATAAATATTAATTCTACAATAGCATCGATACTACCCAAGGAGAAATAAAAATTGCTCATCAAAAGTGTATCAACACTTTTCTTAAAATTACTGTAAAATTATATAAATTTGATATATCGATAAGTTAATATAAAATCGATAATAATTTTTTACAAATCAACTAATCGATTTCGATAATAATCACTCCCATCACCATCGACAGTGGTAGGGAGCGCAAGCTTCGAGAATGATAAATTTCGAAAGAAAAAGGAAAATAATAGATAGATGTATACGTCTATAATATAATAAACGTGAGGTAGAGTAGATTGTATTGTACGTAGCGAGTTTGTTTTCTTTGTACCATCTTCATGGTCGGTCCTGTAGGTAACACCCTCGTGGCTGTGGGCACGGCCAAGCCTGTGCAACCTTGCCATCTGTGCCGCAACTTTGTACGCAGGTGGTTGGCGACACTGTGTACTACCGATTCCTGGACGTATCGTGGTCATCGATGTCATGGTAGTTATCGTCGACATCGTAGTCATAATCGTTGTGCCAGCTCCTGGAGGAGGATGTACAGCCGTTACTCCGAGACCCACGCCTACTCCTAATCCCGTAGTACCTGAAAACCCTCGACTCTCTTTCTCTCGATCTCTCACACCCTCGTTTCTTCTCCTCCTCGACAACTACTCTCACCCTTATCTTCCGTATAGTCATTCACCACCTGCTCCGATTCTAAATGAGTACAACGATTTGAACGAACCTCGACACTTTTAACTTTACACGAAAATTAGAAAACAAATATTATATCCAAAATGAAATAAACTGAGAATAGGATAATGAATATTTTATTCGAAATTAAATTAATCAAAAATAATATGATAAATTTCGTAATTAACAATGAATTATTTGGAAATAAAATTATAAATATTGTAATTGAAATTATAATTAAATTAAAATTATAAATAATTTATTTAAAATCTAATTAAAATTAATTAATTCAGAGATACTGATTTCAAGCTACTGCCTAAACTTTCAAATTAAATTAATGGAAAAATATTTCCAAATAAATAAATAAATTGGAAATAAAATGATAAATAATCTATTGAAAATTTATTTCGATCTAATTGACTCAGATAATGCTGTTTTTTAACTCTCTTATTTCGTGTACTTATTCAGTGTTTAAAACGAATATGGGGTATATGTATATACATAGAGTGTCTCACAACTAGTGTAGGTCCCTGAAATGGGGGGTAGCTAACATGATTCTGTAAATTATAAATAATTTATTTAAAATCTAATTAAAATTAATTAATTCAGAGATACTGATTTCAAGCTACTGCCTAAACTTTCAAATTAAATTAATGGAAAAATATTTCCAAATAAATAAATAAATTGGAAATAAAATGATAAATAATCTATTGAAAATTTATTTCGATCTAATTGACTCAGATAATGCTGTTTTTTAACTCTCTTATTTCGTGTACTTATTCAGTGTTTAAAACGAATATGGGGTATATGTATATACATAGAGTGTCTCACAACTAGTGTAGGTCCCTGAAATGGGGGGTAGCTAACATGATTCTGTACAAGATTTCCCTTTGCAAAAATAGAGTTTGAAGCTTCGTTTTTGAATTATTAAGGAAAAACACGGACAGAATAACGTCAACAACCTCCATTTCAGGGACCGACACTACTTGTGAAACATCCTGTATACAGCACACACAGAATACGTATTTCATTATTTATGAAATTCTTTTTTAATATTTTAGTAATACTAAGTTTTTCAAGAATACTTGCACCAGGGCTTGATTAATGGATAATTAAAGGGGGTTGCAGATATTAGCCCCCCTTTTCAAAAAACTTTATTCTAATTCTATTTACGTCAGAGAAGTAAATTTATTAGTCTTTCCTTTTTAAGGGTATTTCGAAAATGAAATATCTCCAGATCCCTTAAATTTTAAGAGCTTCGAAATTTTTAAGATTTGTAAATTTGAAATTCCTATAATCAAAGATGTGATAATTTTAAATATTAGAAGTTGACAATTTGAAATTTTTATATATATAAATTTCTAACTTTAAAGATTTGCAAGTTTAAGAATTGCTGAGTTTGAAAGTTTGCAGTTTTAAAAGTTTCTGAATTTGAAAGTTTGCAAATTTTTATATTTATCATTCCGAAATCTGAAAGCTAAAACATTTCTAAATTTGAATGTTCAATAACCCAGGAGCTTTGAAAAATGTAAAGACTACATAGAAAATATTTAGCTGTAGCGGTTTCACTCCCACGCTCATCGCCACTAGACGGCGCATAGGATCGAGACCTAGACTTTCTCGCTAATACTCAAAGAGCCTTCCTATTCATACAGGGTGTCCGCGCCAAAGTGTTACAGCGTGATATCTCATGAACTATTGATGTCACGAAAAACTTCTTATATGGAAATTGCAGGGTAAAAGAGGCCCTATGTTTTGGCGGAAGCAAAATTTTTTTATTGTTATTAGTGTAAAAGATATGATGGTGAAGTTTCGTTTTTTAAATGGAACTACTTATATATTTTTTTTTCGATCAGGCGATAGTGCTTTTCAAGACGAAATTATCAAGGGCTTATGTACTCACCCGATTTTTATGAATTTTCGAGATATAACGCTTAGAAATTTACTGATTTTCAGCAGAAACGTCACGATTTGAGTAGTAAGTCATAAAATCGGTCTTATTGTTGCAGTAAGTGCCGCGGATTTGACTCTGCCTGCCGAAACTGATAGCCGAGGATCTACGGTCCCAACGGTAAGTCCAAAGAGTACGAAACGGAAAGAATTGTCCATTACGCTCTAAGTTTTCCGCATCGAGGATGATGGACAATTCTTTCCATATTGTTCCTGTCCATCCCTTCCTCACATATCCGCGTCTAAGGCAAGGGCCTGCTAGAACGCCTTACTGATGAGTCCACTAGCAGGTCCCGGACGAAACGTTCTCCCTCTCCTTTACTTTTCCTAGCCCTCCTACATAGCTACCTGAATCGCCAAAAGGCAATTAAAAATTTACATTCTAATTCATATACTGTATATCAAAAATATGAACATTTTTATGACTAATATAATCAATCCTAGTTCTTTTAAATCGATTTATTCATCGATCCTATTACACAGTTATTAATATAGAATGAACACAAGAAAATAACGGTACTCGTCGTACTCATTCAGAATCTCAAGAGAGACGAACGGGTTCTAAGAGGCAACACTCGTTCTACACCGGCAAAGTTCAGCCCAAGAAAAGGAAAGCAGAGAAAACCAGTTAATACACCCTGAAAAGAAGCCTTCGTTTTCCGTTAATCCTAAGAAAACGCGGTACACGGTGAACAAGATCGATGCAACACACTTCATAACACACACACGGCATACGGCAAGCAAGGATAACGATACTCACGTGGTTATTAGCGTGCATACGCCAATTCTTCGAGCAAGCGATTAATACAGATTAAGCTCAATGCATCGCTGTACACGAATACACCTCAAACTTTAACACATTGTTTCCGGGGAACAAACAACGTGTTTTATTAATCACCTTCGAATACACCAAATCGATTAAAATTTCATTCAAACTTTTCCGACTATCTACACTCCATCACCAACAACGTTTTTATTTGACATCATGCAATAATTGAAAAATTTCATATCTTTCTATTCCGGAAACAATGTGATCATAGTGAACAGTTCTACGAAAAAAGATAGATCACACAGGCCAATTGCAGGAAAGAAACTCAAAGACGGGCAAGACAATCGCGGACTCACCTTGAGGATTTTGGGGTTGGTGATGGTGATGATCGTAATAATGTTGGTGGTGATGGTGGTGGTGGTGATGATGATTGTGGTTGTGATTCTGGTTGTGGTTGGCAGGAAGCGGAGGTAACACTGCTACCGCGTGAGGGAACGGAGGTGCACCACCTCTCAAAACAGACCCTGCACCACACACAGGCCACATACGAAATGTCTTTTTACAAAATGTACAATTTCGCGCCATTTTATTATTATTATTATCGTTCTAATTTATTTTTCATCCAATAATTCACGCCGTGTTCTGACTAAACAAGCAAAAACGTTCAAGGGTAACAGCATTCGTTTGTGCTCGTTTAGGCGACCAGCAGAGTTAAATACTCAATTACGATAAATAACCAACTCCAAATGAATATTCGTGGATTCGAATGTCCAAGAAACCAGTTTACAAGTGCCCAGTACAGTGAATCGAATTGGAACATAGATTGAATCATGTAGAATCAAAATTTGTTGGATTTAAACGTGTCAACCCGTCTAATTAAAATGTGTGTAACCAAGTCGCATTAAATTCGAATCCATAGAACCGAAAATTGAGTGGCATCAAATTGAAACACGTTAAATTGAATCGAACTGAATCGAATTGAATTGAAATACGCCGAATTAAATGACGCGGAACTGAATAGATTCAAACTAGGAATTGAATCGAATCGAATGAAGGTAAATCGTATAGGATTGAACCGTAACAAATTGGATTATATGGAACTGAATGACATCGGTCTGAGTCATATTGAAACTGAATCATTTCAAGTCAAAGTGACTCGAATTGAACAGAATGAATGAATGAGCGAATTCTTTTTGTCGGAGTACTCGTTCACATTGAATATCGCACCGTAAAAATGACGACAATCGTTTGTAAGTGCGAAAAATCTTGTGTCCCTGAACGTGAAGGAATAAATGTCTTTCAGTGAGTATCGCGAGTGCAAAGATCGCGAAAATTGGGTCGATGTGTCGCTTATATAAATATCACCGTATGCGTATCATATGCATGAAATGCCCCTTACTGCGTAAAGAAGCGAGTCTCCGTGAAAAGCTTCAAGCGATAAATGTACTGAAAAAGCAATCGGAAGTCCGAGATAAAAGCGGCTATAAAGCACGTTTACCTACATTATCGGGCGCAACGCTCGGCTAAACGATTAAATGAATAAAGTAACCGGGGAGGATGATAAAAAAGAGCAAAGAAGAGGATGATGTATATATATAAAATCAGCAGCTCAAGTTCCATCGGAGTTTCCACGGCTAACCATAGACAAGAAAGATAATGAAGATGAGTGGCCATGGGACATACGTGTTTTCTTTTATCGACGCTCGAATCTAAAAGGATGTCCGGTAGTGAGAATAGGAATAAACATAATTAAAAATTAATGAAAAAATTGTTCAATAGGATTACTCGCGTGTGTGTGTTGTGATCGTCCAAAACACGTACAACAAATATCACACCGTTCCAATGAATCATTCTCTTTTACTAACTACCAATAATAATGTCACACACTACTTGGATACTTTTCCTTTTTACCAAAATAAAAACAGAGACTCAACTTTTAACACTCAATCGTATTCACGACACGTGAAATTTCCACCGTATTTATTGCATCTATACAGAATGTATACTTTTATGATTAATCACCATAGTTCAAGCAGTCTTAATGATTTACAAAAGAAACGTTTTGAATAAAAGTTATCCAGCCTCTACTTAATTAATTACGTTCTAAAAATGTATACAAAGACCAAATTTCTTATGGGCTAATTAACTTATTCGAAATATTTCTTTGATATTTGTACAAGAGCTTGAAAAATCGTGGTTAATGTTACATGGATACGTCCTGCATGAACAATGTGGAGCATTCACGTTATACACATGGTCATAGAAAGTACAAGTTATGAAAAGCAAAGTTTATGGTCGGACCACTCCAGATTCTTGTTCTTTGCTTCTACCTTCTAGTCTACGGTTTACGGGTCGGGCAAAAAAAGGAATAGAAGAGAGGTAATGAGCACGAGCTTGGTGAATTGTTTTCTTTTGCTGATGTTTCTCTGGTTCTCGTTTACGTACCTTGCATGGCGGAGTGGCGTCTTTGCGGTGGCGGTGGACTACCACCAGCTTCTACGCTGCTCCCACTGTGGCTGTCCAGCTGTGTACTGTGACCACTGTCACTGCTCGTCACTGAACCTACGCACACGTCCCCAAGACACTTCTATCACTACACATTCTAGCCCAGTTCTCGCCCTGCTGCTCCCGCTAAACTGCTAATCATCTAACAAAGGTTAGTCGTGTTCATTTGGACACGTGAATTCCGTAGCTCACACACACACTCTCTCTTTTTCTCCTTTCCTTTCATGCTTGAAACTCAACGAGAACATCAATTGTCGATTTAATCACGATTAACAATCTCGCTCGCACAGCGTTTGTTTTTCGATGCACGCCTACTAGGAACATTCTTCTGTAAGCGACTAGAACAGCTACTTCGAGCAAAGAAGCGGTAAAAATCAGATTAATTATTACTGTGATTGCAAAAATACCGGTTCCTGAAAAGGTAAATTCTGTTCAATCTATCCGAATTATTTCCTATAATTTATTTAGCGATTTGGACTTGACAGATTATCAAAATTTCGAGGCTACAGGTTGTTTAAAAAAGAATCTGAATGTCCTTGTCAAGTGGAATCGTACAAGAGGATGTCATTCACGCATCCGTATGTCCCATGGTGAGTGATTTAATTTGAAGCTAGACGTTCTTCGCCTTAGGATTTAGAACCATGGCACGTATAAAAACACGGAACGATAATATATTGATCGAAAAAGAAGCGCGAGCTACGATAATCGGCGTACAAGATGCGTGTAAAATGGATAGAAGCTAAATATAAACATGGAACATTTATGAATTGCGTAAACGGCTGTGCAGCGTGCATATAAAATGAAAGTTTCTTATATTTGCGAAACCTGACCAGTGTGTACGGTCACGAGCAATGAAAGGTGCACACGATGGTACTTCACGAGATGTGTCTGTTGTTTTGTATCGCGAGATAAGAAGCACTTGAAATTAACGATGAAAAAGAAACACCGTTATCGGTAATAGTTAACACGTTATAATCACGTTGGTCGACAGCATCTCGTTTCGAACCATTTTACGCGTCGAGATTGATCAACTTACCGCTGGTCAACGTTTTTCTTAACGGCTGAAGATTGCTCAGGCTGGTTACACTACTACTTTCAGCACTGAGATCGACAGGTGGTGGTAAACTGGAAGGAGTATCGCTATGGGATCGCTCATGCATAGGAACTCGGCTACCAGATCCTACTCTCCTAGGTGCACCAGGACTAGGCTCCAGTCCGCTGGAATGCAACGCTAATCCTGGCACTGGAAGCGGTGGTGGACAATGTTTAGGTTGGTATGGACGAGTTTTGTGAGGATCGGAGAGCGCCAACATTTTTCGTACCGCCTGTGGCGATGCTGCTCCGAACTTTGTGCCTAAACGTACAAGTTACAATTAGTTTCATTCTATAACAACTAATATTTATAAAATGTGTAAATGAGTTCTCGCAGTCTAAATTAACACACTAACTTATTTTCAATAAATTTAGTAGACAGTTTTGATATTTAGTGCCTTCTTTGTTCTACGGTATCGCGGGAACTTATACACTCAGCAATATAAAATAAATTTACCTTGTATACTCTTTCTACCTTCGCTCGTGCTACTGGCACTGCTAGTGGTTGATAAAGTAGGAGAAGGATGCCTTCTTCCTCTGCTTGTACTAAGAGGTACCGCAGCAGCTACTGCAACAGCTCCTGCATGAGGTTCACACTCCACGGAAAGAGCGTGTAACCGCTCCTCATCCGTGATAACTTTCATATTAGCGAGATATGCTTTCACTCTTCGAACCATCTGCGCCTCCTCGAACATTTTCTTCGGATTTGGCGCTGCGGTCGACTTTTTTCGTCTTTTCACTGTTGCTGTTTGTCCTCCTGGACATTGCAACACTGTTAGTAAAAACGAAATGTCACAATTCTTGCTCTGTTTCTACAAATTCGAATTGTATTACCTTGATTCCCCGTAGTCATTTGATTTAAGGCGACCATAGCTGAACTGGGTGGTTGACCACCCCTTTCTAACATTATAGACAAGTCGTAAGGCGAGGAACACATGTTCGTCAACGTTCTCACTTCTTTCGCGATCATTCGTAATTTTTCAAAATTTACCAAGCTTTCTACCCTGGAATCATTTCCCAGATGTATGAACGTCAGGTCTTTCTTCACTACTGGATAAAATGGAATCTGAAAGAAAATGAAACACGATGTTTTATTACACTACTCAATAACTGGATAATTTGTACAAGAAAGTATTAACTTACTATGGGAGGTTGTGTTTGTTCAGATGCCACCAATTGCCGGTATTTACTCATGTTGCGGCTGGGATCCATTAATTCCTGTAGATCGCTAAAGAGCCTCTGATATTTACTTGGCAGTTTTTCCCAAGATGCTCGCAATCTTGAGACGGCTCCATGTCCCAAACCGGACACAATTGCAAACATTGAATTGAAATTTTTACACTCTTTACATTGTCCTGTTTACAAATGAAAACATGAAAAAGTGTATTGCAAAAATGTGTACATTTAAATGACTCATAAGTAACAAAACTCACGAGCTATTTTTATGAACTGTTTTATTATTTTACTACGTCGAACAAGATTGTGCTCAGAACAAACTTCTGTCACAACCCAAAACATTTCTCTGTTGACTAGTTCCGCAAACTGCCTAAGCATAGGTACTCCGTATCTGCTTTTCAGCTCAAACAAATCATCCACGTATTCCGTAGATTCAATTTGCCTAATAACAACATTTGCATGAATATACTCTTACTTACAAAATAAATAATAGCATGAAAAGAGACATTCATGATAAGCATTCAATTTACCTGAATATACTAAAATCTTGTAAAGTTAGCTGAATGGCAACTTCAACTGCATTCAATTGCAAAAAATGAACCTGAGATTCACGGATCAATTCAGGTGCTTGTTCGTCCGCTACGAGAGTCTCCGAAATACCATTGGTTTTTAAATAATATCGAGAACTCAAGCCAATTCGTTCCGCGAGATTCTGTAATTGATCCGGTAACCTACGTTGTTTAATCATACCCCCTTCTCCGACGCTAACTTCTGCTAAAGAAAAATTCGAACTGCTCTCGGTTATACCAAATTCTTGGAGAGCTAGCATAACCACCTAAAAACGATATAGTAGCATATAAATAGAAATTTTTAGTAAGGTACATATTGTCTTGTGTCAAATGTATTTACCTCGTGCGCTGTTGTTTCTTTGTGAATAAGAAGATATTTACAAGTTTGATCGGCTTTATAAACTTTTAAAACGTGTTCAGGGTAGTCAGGCGCCCTTAAGTCATCGTAGCAATACAACGACGTAAGATCAGGATTACTTTTGGAGTGATAAAGGTTTGTTGTAGTCTGTGCAAGTCCTGTTGTTCCCGGTGGTGTGTGAGGAGGTGCGAGGGGATCATCTACATGTACACCATCGCTGTAAAAAAGAATAGCACTATTTAGAAATTTAAATTTATGAATTTCAATTTACTTATTATTAGAATGTAATTTAAATACATTCTAATGTTCAGAAATTTAATAATAGAATTGTACTTATAATACTTACTTAATAGTATTCTTTGGCAGTATATTCATCTTCATTAGAGCTTTCTGTAATCTTCTTTTCGGTCCAAGGGTCATGAATCCTTTATGTTCCTTTTTAGCGTCTTTACACGGAGAAACATTTGAATCGGGAATTAATAATGGAACACCGCCCACCAGAGGATTTACTGGAGTTATCGGATCCACGTGCGTAGACAACCTTGCACGCGGATCAGTTTGTAGTCTTGAAATCTCAGGTTTATTTGCTCTTCCACGCGGCCTCGGCGAATCGTCTGGCATCTGAAGCATTTCTTTAAACGCTACAACAGTAATTTATTGCTCGTATAAAAAGAGTAACGTACACGATTCTTAATTTTAAAAGGTGGCACATACCAAGTAAATTGGATTTAACAGTTATACTGAGATGAGTGGATCCTCTTAAAATTTCGAGAGCCCTGGCATGACTCACATGCTCAAAGCTTTGTCCGTTTACTTCTAAAATCTGATCGCCTCGTTTTAAACCGACGTCTTCAGCTTTCGATTTTTTATCAACTTTTGAAATAAAAATACCAAAACCCCTTTCATATCCCCCTAAAATACTAAAATGCAAGATATCATCTCTGGAAGGCCTTGCTAATGTTACATTCCGCGTCCTCGCTTTTGCAGCACACGCGATATTTAATAATCTGTAATGATTTAACGATATTTCAATTATATTGTGTCGTAGTAGATGTAAAATTCGAGGAGAGTAAAGTGAAAATAAGATATACCTTTGCTGGCCTTGCATTTTCTCTCGCTCCAATCCAGCTTCAAAAGCTTCTAAAAATTCCATCATGGCCGGATCAGTTTCAAAGTCCGTAAAATGATTGTTTACCCAAAGAAGTACTACGCGAGCAACTCTGTCTCTAACTTGTGCTTGATCAAACCACTCTAACAATTGACTTGCAACTAATAAAGGACTATCAATAAATGTTCGATGAGTTAATAAGAAATCTTCTATATAAGTGGGGTCGGTAATACTGTTTTCTTCAATAAGTTGTAACATTAAACGTTCGGGAGTTCCACGAATCACTACATGACCTCTTCGTGCTCCACCATCCAAAGCACCCCTTAACTCAGTTACCAAAATCACTCTCCCGTTTTCTTCGTGCCTCCTGGTGTTCTCTTCCCCTTGATGTTGAATTCTAAAGTAATCCGCTTGTGTAACGCATACAAACTGGCAGTCGTCGCATCTAGAAAAGAAAAAATGGATTCTCTCAACATATCTCTCATATTAAATAATAAGAACTTTGATAAATAATGAAAATCTTCGACACTACACTTACTTTGTTCTCATGACACCTCTATGCAAAAGCCTTTCCATAGTTGGCAAGATTCCAAAACTGTCACCAAGGTGCAATTGTTCAATTTCTCCATTACTATGCTCAATCTCCACTGCGCCATTAATGAGTACGCTCCAACTGTCCAATTCTTCGCCATCATTTAAAACTATCATACCAGCACGTTCTACCACAGCAAACACCATTACAGCGCACAGCGCTCTTCTTACTGCCAAAGTCATATTTGTGAAGGCCTTCAATTGTTGCGTGAATTCTAACAGTGTCTCTATATCATCCTCAGTTCTTTCCATAGGATCTTTCTCTAAACATTCTCTGACAGGATCGCGAACAGTCAAACTCTGAAAAATTGACAATACCAATGACAGTTAATTTTACCACATTAAATTGTGGGAGTAATTGTATTAACACAATTTATATAGAATTAAAGAGTGTCCTTACATCCATACTCTCTGCAAGATCTTCCTCTTCATCGCTATCCACAATGGATTCAACAAGCCCTGACAGATCAACATCATCTGCATCAGCATCCAATGAACTTTGAACGGATGTCATTGTGTCTGATCCACTGTATGCCGAACTCGTGTCACTTGAATGGCTGCTTCTATTGGATTTTTGGTAGAGCTCTGGCCTGCCTGTCAGGCCTTGAGAAAACTGTAAATCAGAAATAGGTTTCCTAGTTAATTATATGTTACAATAAATACATATTATTCAATAGGAGCAACCAATATTGTTAAGTTTTAATGGAATATTTCATATAATGCAGTCTTAGATTTTTTTATACAAATTTAATGTGTATGTTCTTGAAACTGAAATGTCATGAAATAGAAAAATACACAAATATGCTCTAATATGGTTATAGCAAAAATATGAAATGTATAAGATATGATAATAATACTTCTATTAATTTAAAACTACTGTTTAGTTACAAAATGAAAAGCATAAATTGTAAGAGTAAATATTATATGCAAATGTAAAAATGTAACTCAATAGTATATCAGTATCAAACATGTACTGATAAAGGTGGGCGACATGTTAAAATGCAAACACTGTTATAGCTTTCACATTATGTTTCACTATTTTTTTATAACTATATAATAAGCAATATTTCAAATATCATTTAAACAGAGCAGTAATACAAAAAAGTAATAATTTGAAATCACTCACTATTTTGTAAATAAATTTGTTTATATTATTAGTTTGTGATTTGAAGAAAAAATTCTTCAAGTGTAATGGGTACATATCCATGCCGAATGAATTTTAATACAAATCAAGAAATTCTTCGTCATGAGGTATCGACATGATCTTGAATATAAACAAAAGCATGGTGCAATGCCAAGGCAAAATATCAATGCACCGTTCGATTTAATGCTGTTAAAAAAATTCTACAGCAACGAGAAACGATCTATCATCCATAGATCGACATCGATCTGTCAATCGTCAGTAGGAAGCTGCAAGGAACGGGATCAAGAAACATGTAGGACAAAAACACGGTGCTTTACGAGCGTCGCTCGTTCACGGAATAGTACCAGGAATGGGCGTGATGGAGACAGCTCTACTCGCAAGTTAGGTTAGGTTGCCAGACATGACATCACGCACGCAACATCGAGCGGCCAGCAAACACGCACGGAGGGAAAGAGACAGAAATACGTGGCACGTATGTATGTCTAAACAAAAACATCGTGACATCTGTCATCCCACGGTAATAAGTGGCGATCGTTCACGGTGACGAGCCGTTTACGGGAAATCTCGGCAACGAGAGAAGTGTTACGGTAAAGCAAGGCCATTTTGAGCCGCGGGAGATCGTTCAGACTCACTTGGTACATGCCGCAGGCGTCCATCCTATCCTTGCTAATAGCACTTGCACGACTGGCTCTCTCTTCCGCGTCCGATCACGAGACAAAATGCGAAAAAGGAACACCGTTCGACCACATTTTCTCTTCCCCGAGGAATTTCGATCGAACTCGACCAACTCGTACCGCCCGTTCGCGAGTGCATATGCGACGGTATTATAATAAGCGAGACGTGACCCTCTTTGTGTGCGTTTACGAAGCTCGTGGCGCGTCTAGTGTGCCCCGTGTCGTGGGCCGTCAGCTTAGCCGAGTAGCGGACATAGGACTGCCTCTTGTCCCTCCCCCACCCTTCGTCCAGCCACCGGCGTTCCCTTCGAAAGCATACGGTCACGTGACCCAAACGAGAGACGAGCTTCAGGTCCGTCGCAACAGGGGGGCGCGCGTTGGGGGGCCCACCTGTAGCTTCTGACCGTGCCACCAACAAAACACTTCTCTCGATGACGCGACGAAAATGCTCCTCGAAATTTTTCGCTGCGGCCTGCTTTGCACCGAGTTAATAGTCAATTATCGACCGCGTACTGCTTCTGTATCTAATTTGGTGTAACGCATGCTTTTAATATCGAACACGATACAGAGTCGAATCTATAGCTGTGCTGGAAAGGGGCAATTTGTTAGAGATACGCAGTATGGGTCCAACACGTTGATAGGTCACTGGATTATTTTCAATGGATTGGTTTAAATATCAAGGTTAAGTTGAATTGTAAAAAGTTTACAAATACTAGAAAAATTGTTTTTTTAAATTTGCATTATAAGCTAGTGGATCACGGGTGGACTAAGAGACTTTAAAATTTTCGAGTTTTGTGACAATAAGATTTTGCGATTTTTTGATTTTGGATTCTCGGGTCTTTGAACGGTTATGTTTGGGCCATACAATTATGGGTTCTTGAAATCTGTCATTTTCAGTAGTTTAGGACTATAAGTCTGGAGTTTTGAAATTTTGAGAGTTTAGGATATGTAAATTTGTTCATTTTATGATTTAAGACTTGGGAATTTCGAAATTCTACTTTCTCTGGAGTCTGAAATTTGAAAACCTTCTCGAACTAAGTGTTTGCAATTTTTTAACTTTCAGTCCTAAGGATTGCAAGATTGTTGAAGTCTAAAATTTCTAGATCTTACTATTGTAAAAATAAAGAATTTTTTAATTCTAGGACTTTGAAATTTCTCATTTCTGAAAATTCTACTTTAAAAGTATAGAACTTGAAAACTTTCAGATGTGATTTTTGAAATTTGGACCCAGGTACCTTAGAAATATTCAATTCATAATGAAAATAAATGTTTACGCTGGTTTCTATTCATATAAATTTTAGAGGGCCTGTCTTCATATATATCTTTGCTTAAGATAAACTTATTTGTTTAACAAGAATAAAACAAAGAACCATGATAAACATCTAATAAAATTAACATATCGACAAAGATATCTTTATTTTACCATGTAAATTATAAATTAATCTTAGGATTTCACTATTCTTGTGAGGGTGGATACCTCCTATCTGCACTCATCACTATTACAACACACTTCCCTCTACTACAGTAAAATTCATTAAACAATTTTCAATTATTTTACCAAATTATAAACCAGCAACAATTCTTCCACTAAAAAAGAGAAACGGAAATAGAATGCAAATTATCGAAAGGAAACAGTGTAATTCGATGGAACTTGACAGATAATACAATTTTCCATGAATATTAATCGCGTATTACCAAGGACAACCGGTTGCTTGCATCGTAGTAGCAATCCATCAAACGCAACTGCGAAGATCTGTTATATAAAATTTCTTCGGATGCAACAGTGTATCGACGATGTGAAGATGAGAGGCTTAAAGGACGATGTTGTGAAACGAGCTTAAGGAGTCGACGGTCGGTCAATCGTCAGTCGGTAAACGATCGAGAGAGATGGAGGATACACGGAGAAGAGAGTACCGGTCTGCTCAAAGCATCCAAAGCAGCGGATAGTAACTGCTCAAAGGCCACTGGCCGACCCGACGGATGATTTATACGACCCGTTATGTCGTGCTCATGTCTCACTTTTCCTTTTGTCCCAGCGTCCACAGACTTTCCAAATTGCTTCTCCCATTCAGTTTCTTCCTACTCGATCGGGACAGACACTGGCATACCAGTGCATACCACCAATGTGCATTCCGGAGACTCTTTAGGGGAGAGCCACTCTAATGTAGATCATCTTGCTGGCACGCTGCGCCTTAACGAACTTTCGATCCGGAGAAAGGCGTTTTAAAACTTTTTCCAACGGAAAATGGAACGTCACTGAAGACTTGTTTAAGGTGGCTCCAGCACAAACATACTTTATTGTAAAACTTGTTTAAAATTAAATTGCATACTTGGCTAATGCGATGAACTGGCCGCTACTTAAAATTTAACGTGATGGAACAGTTATTTTTATTTTTGTCTATTTTCATCATTTCTATTTTATCAGATGAAATTTGCGAATCTTCAAATAGAAGTTTAAGCTTTAAAAAATTCTTAATTTCAAAATTTTTAAATTTACAAATTTACTAATCTCCCAATTTTTAAATTTTAAAGTTTTCAAACAGAAATTAGAAATTTTCAAAGTCAAAAAATTCTCAATTTCTAAATTACAAAATTTCCCACACTTTCCAATATTTAAAATATTCAAATCATCAAATTTCCAAATTCCCAATTTTTCAAACTCATCTATTTTCCAAAATATTCTCAATTTTCTACACTTATCAATAATATAAAATTTCTTAAATTTAAAAACTTCTCAACTATTTAATTTTTTCAATTTTTCAAATTTGCGATATACAAAGTATTCAAATCTTCAAATTTTCTAATTTCCCCAAATTCCCAAATTTCCTTCAGTTTCACAAGTTTTTTAAACAAAAAAAGTTGTATAATCTTCATATTTAAAATTATATTTGAATTATATTTGAAAGAATAAAAGGTAGACACAAAAGTAGACAGAAAGAAATACCAAAGTGCAAATAACATCTGTAGAACAACGAGACAGGAATGTTCGTAAGACAGGAAAAAATGATTTTCTTCGACAAGAATAGCCAGGTAAATCGCATCCAGTATTACGTTCCATTTTCCAGACGTTGGAAAACCTTTTTCTCGCTTCGCGACGATCGCTATTTACTCTTCCAGCCAGGAAATTCTCTGTCTGTACGCGTCGAGGCAAATAAGAAAATTCACGGACTGATAAAACTTCACTTCATGGAGGACGGGTGTACATTTGAAATGCATGAGAAAGCGTGCAACGAGAGAAAAAGCTGCCTCAAAACTTTGCCACTCGTTGCATTCGACGCGCGGTTCTCCACCCTTCTTTTTTATTTTTATTCACTCTTTTGACGTCCTTTCTGATCAACGGAAACACGTGGATGTCCCGTCCACGCCTTTAACCGATCTATGACATCAAACTTTCTTTCAACGATGTGTACGATGACGCAAGATGAATGATCGTGAACCGTAACGAACAAGATGATAAGCAAAAGTGCATATGCTTCGATCTAGCCATAGATAACGGCTATAAATCTCTATCATATTATGGATGATGTTGAATGCTACGACTATCGATTCTGATCGGACAAAACAAAACGTGTGAGCATGCGAGCACTTATGTTACCTTGCAATTGAGAAGTGATGGAATGGAAATCAAAAGAATAATCTTAGTTTCTCCGATTTTTTATATTTTTGTGTTTATATGTATATATTCAAATTTTCAAAATATTAGATTTCTTAATTTTCAACTTTTCAATATGTATATCAAGAGTTTCAAATGTATAAATTTTCCACAGAAATTTCTAAATTTTTAAAATTTCAAAACCTCAAATCTCTAAATTTCTAAATTGCTACATTTTCATTTACTAAATTTTCTAATCACTAATATTTTAACTTTCAATTACCTACTTTTCCCAATCATTTTTAATTATCTAAATTTCCTGTTCTCCAGATGTACGTTTTTTCTATAATCTCAAATTTCCACTCTCTAAATTTTCAAACTTTTAAATTTCAAATCACTAAAGTTCTAAATTTCCCATTACTTAAATTTTTAAATTTTTAATTTTTTAAACTGCAAATATTTTTAATTTTCTGCTTCCAAAATTCAAATTTTCTATATTTTCAATTTCCTAAATTTTCAATTTTCTAGGTTTCCATGATCCTACATTTCTAAATCTTCAAATCATTCATTTTTAAAAATGACACATTTTCTTATTTTAAGTTTGCTAAATTGCAAACATTCTAAATTTTCAATTTCCTAAATTTTGCATCCTCTGTATTTCCGTTCTTTGAAATTTTCAGTTCTCCAAATTTCTAAATCTCTAAATTTCCATATTATCCAATCTCCAAATTAAAATTGTTTAATTATCTATTTAAATAACACTGAATATAAAATTAACTAGAATCTAGTGTTAAAATGCAAACATTATTTCCTAAATGACAAACCCTTAATTTTGTTTTTTGTAACTACTTTATAGATTTTATTGAAATTTACATCTGAAACATTACTTTAACAAACGCTAAATACGAATTTTTCTCTTTGTAAGGAAACATACACATTCTTTGACAGAATTATTTTTTGACTTCCTTACAATTATTGCCAAACGTAATGAGATTCCTGAGATGATTCGATTTGCATTTGTTTGTTTGTTATCCTATAGATCGCAATTTTGTGTCTTTTGACATCAAATTAGGGAGAGATTCGTGAGACATCTCAAACTTGCTGTGTAAATTTTGCCGAGGATCTAATGACAGGCACCTGTCGTCATCGACATCAATCATCGTCGAATCGATAAAAAACTGAGTTTTGATATCGTATTCGATAATTTCAAACAAGTTTAATCGTTTGGAACGACTTAAAAATCTCTACATCTCATTTTTGTTTATATGTTTACGTACTCTAAATTTTGAATACAGATTCGAGTTCACGTGAATAACCTGGTCCGTAGACCCACTAGTATGTGCAAAGTTTGCATCTTAATATCAATCAAACTCATCGATTGTTAATACTCCCTTATTATTAGAAGTAGTTATATTTACAGAGGAATGTAATAGTTGTCACTATTACATCTATTTTTAGTGTGTAGTTCATCTTTAGTACATTCAAAAAAGGTTCCTATTACTAAAGACCACTATTACATTCAAAAAAGGTTGCTACGACTAAAGGTCACTATTACATTCAATAAATGTTAGACCCAAACTTATAAACGCTTGGAAATTCAGGTCGAAAGACGAAGTACACACTGAAAATGTGTTCTTGGCTATTCTCAAACGACAGAATGGTTTGAAAATAGATGTTTACCGTGTCATCGAAGACCAGGTTAACCTGCCGATGGTCGGTTATGGGATGAGGGTGCGGCGGTCGATGCATCCTTCCTCCATGCACTTCCGGATAGTCGATCTGCAAAACGAAAGAAAAAAACGAAATTTAATTATAACGATTGACATACATGTCTTCCTTCATGACAGCGACGTTCGTATCGTATGCGTAAATCACGTACTATCGGTAATCTGATTCGTACAGCTGAATGTTCCGGTTTTGTGTTAACCTTTCACCTTTTATAACACGCGGAACACTGCAGTCGACACGGAGATTAAAAATATAGGAATTGTTCGATATGCACTGGGTAGGCTAAGATGCTTGAATAACTTTCAGACATTTGTTCGGGAAACTTTCTTTAACTTCAGGAAAGATAGGAACGTGCTGGTTCACACGGTGATCGATGGTGATTAGGCTAATTGCGTTATTTTAAACGGAGTGAGGTGTCGCTTCTGGTAACGAAAATCGACTTTCGAACGATGATAGGATAAACTTTTTACTTTCTTGAGAAGTATCTTCGGTAAAATGGTTTGAATAATTGAGAAAAAATTTCAAACTAGAATAATGTTCCTAAATCCTGAGATCCAGTGACAGATAGGGTAAAACTCTAGAATCTGAAAGTTAAAAAATTCCAAAGTCTAAAAAATCAGAATTTCTAAAATTTTAGAATTTTAAAATTAAAAACTTTTATAATTAAAATTAGAAATTCTGAAATTCTGTAATTACAAAGTTATAAAATTCTAGGATTATGTAACTCTGAAATTTTGTAATTTCAAAATATTCAATTCCAGGATTCCAAATTCATAATCCTACAATTCTATAATTGAATAGTTCTAAAATCCAAGATTCCAAATTCATAATCCTACAATTCTACAATTCAACAGTTCTAAAATCTAAAATCCAAAAATCTCAAAATCTCATAGTTTTAAAAATCGGAAACTTTCAAGGTTCCAAAGTCCTCGTTTCCTATATTTTCATAATTCTAAGGATTGAAAGTTCCAAAGTACCAAAACCTTAAAAGAGTACCAAAAAATTCAAATTTTCTAAATTTGAAAATTGTAAGGCATCAATTCACCAAAATACCAAATTTCAAGGTTCAAAAACTACAGAGTTATCTGAATTGCAACAAAATCGTAGGATCAAAGTTGATGCAAACAAATGCAAATTATAAAAACTTCAAACATAATTTATTCTTCTGATTCTAAGCATTGCGAGCTGTGGCTTTCCAAAATTGCTACTTTTGGCATCTCCTACAATTGTGTAAGGTTTAAACGGAAACGATGGTTTCAAAGTTGTAATGTCCCTCCTCAACAAGATCCAATTAACACTTCGAAAAATATTGAAATCAATCTATCGAGCATTGCGCGCGATTGTTTCGCACGGGCAGACAAAACTTTCGCATTCGAACAATATATCATCGCTAACGAAAGGTGTTTCAATAATTTCCGGCGGTGTTGAGCAGAATATTTTGTCGCGACATGCGCCACGGTTTCGCACCGGTGGTCCCGAATCGAATCAGCGCATCGTCGACCGATGGAAATTCAGCTGTCGTCACGAAAATTGGCTAAATACTCGTTTCTCTAACAATCGAGTCGCGAGGGAGCGGTTCTGTGAATGGCGAGTATAATCGGTGTATCTACCGGAAGTCCGGCCTACGAGTTCCGGCCCGAGGCGCGCACGCTCATCTCGTTGTCTCTTACGCGTTTTTTTTCTTCCTTTTATTGTTCATGCACATTGTTCGACAACGAGCTCCATTGCCTGTTGACCGAAAAAAAAAACGAGACAGGCAACCAAGAGTTGACGCAGCTGCGGAAAGTTGAGCACATCTGCAGGTGCAAGCGGATTAGATTATCAACGCTATGTGCTCCCTTGTGGAACGCGTTGTATGATTGTTTGCGGAAGCGGAGCGTTCGCTCGTAGAGAATTTTCGGAATCTGGAAAACTGGAAATTTGGGCACTCGAGAATTTAGCAATTTAGGAATTCGGAGAGTTAATGTAGGAATTTGGATGGTTGGAAATAGAGGAGTGTGGAAATTTGATGAGATCGAATATTTTGAAATTTGAGGTGCACGAAATTTAGGAAATTAAAAAATTGGGGAATTGGAAATTTGGTAAATTCAGAACTTAGGAATTTGAGAATTTTGTAATTTCAGATATGTGGAAAGTCGGACAGTTTGAAATGTGGGGAATTAGAAATTTTGTTGAGAATTTGGAAATATTTAAATTTAGAGATTCCGAAATTTAGGAATCTGGGAGTTTGAAAATTTTCATTTTGAAAATTTAGAAATTTTAAACTCGAAAATGTGAGAAACTTCGAAATCTAGAAAATTTCTAAATATCTAGGTTTATAATTTTGCAAATTTGTGTATTTGTATATTGGTATATTGGTATATTTGTGAATTTCCATATGCGTACATTTATATATACGTATATTCGTATATTTGTAAACCCATATACTAATAAATTTGTATACTTGTGAATTCGTAAATTTGTAAGTTTATAAATTTGTAATTTTTAAATCACCATATTTCCAAATTTCAAAATCCAAAGAAAGCACATATGAATCTTTATATTCTTAAATTTCATCTGTCGAATCTCCTAAATCTGGAATTGTACATACCTACAATTTACAAATACAAAACTTCTAAGTTTAAGTATTTGTGTATTATTCTGTAATATTTGAAATTTGTACAATGCTAAAATCATTTTTGAATCCCATTCAGTTGAACAACATGGTAAATTACATTACTATAATTAACTTGTGTTTTTTAATTAAGGTAAAATATTTTGTAATAAATAACGAGGGACGCATGAAGATTCTTGAATGAAATTGTTCGTACGTAATATCATCTGGAAAAATCGGTCAGACTTGTTTAATTAACGAATAACTTAGTAAATTTATCCAGGTATGTACGTGCACTGCGTCCGCATGCGACAGTGCCCCGTTCTTTTGAAAGTGAGTATTAAAATCCTTGACCATTTAAAAGCAGTTGTTAAAGCGCTCCGAGAATTCAAAACTTGCAACACGTTATCAAAAGTTTGTTCGTTCTTCGTTGAATCGGTGCAACGTTACACGCAGTATTTCAAATAGCTTACGAAGTCGGTAAGTTACTGTTTTTTATATTAAACTTCGATTAAAATGAACTTTAACTCCTTTTAACTCTCAATTCTCGCATTTTGTACCCTTTAATTAATAGTGTTATTATCTAGATAGTTTTTTTAAATTGTTAGTTGGTATAAAGATTTGTTCATATGTTCCATTCACTCGATAGGCCAATAAAAAAATAATGGAACGAGTATTCTAATTATCGTTCACTCGACACAACTTGTTTTATCCAGCTAATTAATATTCTCCTTTATATCTACCTCATGCATAGCCTGAGCAACAACTTAACATTCAAATCTGGTTCAGGTGAAAGTGTGTTACACGTATCATTCCAGCTCTGGTAATTAAAACAGCTGATTCTATCCTTTTCAATTATTTATGGGGTTAGGCCACGTTAATTAGTTTAAAGAGTATCGCGCGTTTGAAAATCCATTTATAAATGACTGAATGATTGATGTGTACTGATTTTGTTTTGAGTTTTATTTTTAAGAAATAGAAATGGTGGTTTAGGGGGAACAGTCGTATAAGAAAAGTAGAAAGATTCATTCATACAAGGTAATGGATATCAGAAACATAGAAATTAAAAAAAATTAAGGAATGAAGGTATTAAGAAATTTAAGTATTTAGAAATTTTTTAATTTAGAAATTAAGAGATCAAAAACTTAAAAAATGAAGAAATGAAAGAATTAAAAAATTAAAGAATTCAGAAATTATGGAATCAAGAAATAAAAGAATTAAGAAATTAAGGAATTAAAAAACTGAAAAATTGAGAATTTGAGAAACTACAATCCTAAGAAATTAAGAAATTAAAAAATATAGAAACTGCCGACATTCCCAAATTTTTTAATTCACGACTTTGAAAGTTTTCAAATTCTCAAATTTATGCATCCACAAATCCTCATATTCTCAAGATTCAAAATTAAAAAATCTAATCCTCAAATTTATAGATTTCCAAAATTCTAAAGTTTCAAAATTGCCAAATCCTCAAATTTCCAAAATTACAAAAAATTAAAAATCCCGAAAATCCATAAAATCGCCACGTTTCTAAACTCTAAATTCCGAAATCCATAAATCTTTAAATCCCCAAATCCTAGATTTCTAAATCCTTAAGTTTCCAAATCCCTAAACCCTTAAATATCTAAAATCCCAAAATACTAAAATCCTCAAAGTTCCGACTTTCTAAATCTCCAAATTGCAAAATTCTAAACCTGCAAGTCCTCAAATTTCCACAATCCCTAAACCATCATATTTCCAAATTCCCCAAATCCTCAAAATTCTTAAATTCCCAAATATTCTAAAAAAAAATATTGTTGGCATATCAACTGATAAAATTCACATTGCTCCCGATTGCCAACTTACCAGACACACATATTCTCATCTTTTCATCTTTATTATTTTGAAAAATTTTTGATAAAAAGTAACGTGTTCACCAAACGAAATTAAATTTCAAAGAATGCGTTAGCAATGTTTGATGAATTCTAGTCAAAGCGATTTCACGCGTTGAACAAACAACAGAATGGATCAGAAGGATCCAATATAAAACGAAAACTTTTCCACATTGTTAGACTGCATTTCTCAATGACCGTCGATTGAACGCGTAAATAAACGCGCAAAAAGGAATTAAAGTAGATCATGCTACGCTCTGTTTGTCGACACGCGAATCATAATCGCGAATCGTTCGCGAACTAACAGCCGGACAGTCGCGAAATGCAGCAACAACTCCAGTGACGCAACTTGTGAACCGCCAATACAGAAAATGTACATTCTCTTACGTAATGCGAAAATTATAAACAATCGGTTGACGTGGAACTGCAAACACAGCGTGTTTTTGCATTCCACTTTGCGAATCATGAGTGTTCGAATTCTTCTTCGTTATATGGACGATATGATTTGGCAATTCGATGCCCGTGACACTGTGGAACAGTTTGCTATAGAGTTAGGTGAATGCTTTTCACTAATGAGCGAATATGAAGTATGACGTAGGTATGTATAATATTTAAATAATAAGACAGTCATTTTTATCGATACATTTTAAATTTTCAAATCCCCAAATTTTTAGATGTCCAATCTTCTAAATTTTTAATTTCCAAAGACCCAAAATACCAAGTTCTAAATTTAAAAATTCTACATATTCAATTTTCCAAATTTCTATATTCTCACACTTCGAAGTTTATAACTTTCAATTTCCAAATTTAAAAAATTCTTAAATCTACGAGCTTCGAAATTTCTAAATTTCTAACTTCCAAATTCACAAACTCCACAACTTTCAACATTCGCAAAGTTCTAATGTTCAATTTTCTGAATTCCTTTTTCGCGAAATTTATAATTTTCAAGTTCTAAAATTTCAAAATCCCTAAACCTCCAAGTGTCCAAATCCCCAAGTCCTCTTCTTACGCCCAATAATCCGTAAAAATCGCCAAATCTTAAAAATTCCAAATCATCTTCTTATCTTCTACCATCATTAAATCCTCAAATTTCCAAACCCTCTTGTCCCCAAAAATCACCAAATCCTTAAATCCTCTTATATCCAAAAATCTTCAAATCGTTAAACCTCTAAGTCCTTCACAAACACATCATCTTTCCAAAACGCCCTAAAAACCAAGATATAAAACTAGAAATTACTAGTACCTCTTTGGATTATCTAAATATTTCATTCAATAATTGCGAGCAAACAGAAAATTTCCATCCTTTATTTATTTATAGATGTATCAAAATACCTTACTCTCTTAAATAAGCGAACATAGAATTGCTCTAATCAATCAATAAATTGCAAATAAGATTCCGTTCCATTTCGATAGGAATTTTATGCGAGTACAGTTTATTTGACGAGGATGAATAGGTCGGAAAGACCCGTAAGTCACAATAATCATGATTAAGCACGGGAGAACCGTGCGAAAAGCTCTGGTCTCGCGTGGCAATAACGAACGAATCCTTCGATAATAAACGATTGTCTTCTCGCATTCCTTCCTCCTTTATCTTCCGCTCGTCCTCGTTATGTATTCACGATTTGCGTGGGTTCTTCGACTAAGCGTGGGCGAGCACATACACGCGTATACACATACAGTACGAGTGCGTGCAACGTAGGTTTCCTTTAGATAAGGACGCATATTCAAAGTTGACAGTTTTTATATTTCCAAATTTTCCAAATTTATAAAGAACCCCGCACACGTTATATCTGTAAAACTGGTCCCGGTCAAATTCGCTCAAATTTACATTTGTTGTATTCTACAGAGCGTCGATGATGTGTATAAGTATAGACGTAAAAATTCAAAAATATAAAGCATACGATGGCTTATTATTAGTGGAACTACAGATTCAAAAATCTTGTCTAAATTCAGAATGTAGTGGTATTAGTTTTATGTGAAAAATGTTAAATATTATAGAATGACAATTATATTTCAGATGGGTTGAAAATTTGATTTAGCTAAAAAAAGGAATTAAATTTGATAAAAAATAGTGAATTATTTACTGACAAATCTATTACTATATTATAACATATAAAAATGTTTTAAATGTGGAAAGTGTCATTTTTATAATTTCCTTTCTTTTGGATATAAAATGATCTAAATACTGTTTAATTAAAAAACTATAAAATATGTGAATTTTTTATATCATTTAAAATACGCTGCAAAGAATAACAGCAAAACTTATACAATTGTAATAGTACATAATTTACACCTAATTAATGAATTGAGTGTCATATTGTCAGTCTGAATAGAAGATTAGGTATCGAATCTCGAATGTATAGATTATCGGATCAAATTAAACAGACATAATGTGCAATCGAAATGATAAGAAATCAGGCGATCGGAAGATTTCCACAAATGCTGAAAAATCAATAATATTATTTGACCAATTTTTAAACACTCATGATATTCGCCTGTACGTTTCAATCAATAATCGATACAATCCCGTTTTAAAAACGTAGAGGCTTATGAATATTAACACATAACTATTTTCTGATACGTCTATCCTTATGACTGTTTTATGCAAATTGAACAAGTCGGTGCAATACTGTTTTTACTAGATAATTTATTTATAGCTTCAGTCTCTGCCAACCAATTTCTCATTTCTTAATTTTCTTAGTTTCTAGTAACCAACTTGTCATCATACTTCAAATTCAAAAATTTAGATATAGCGATATTTTCAAATTTATTGACTTTTCAATTTCAAATTCATGTGCTTTCTAATCTTTTAATTTAGAAATTCGGTAATTAGCTCTCAAGTTTTCTAATTCTCAAGATTTTAATCTTTTACACTCTTAAACTCTCAAAAGTTCTTAAACTCTTGAATTCCAAAACTCTTAAATTCTCAAACTCTCAAGTTAAAAAATTTTTAAAAACTAAAATTCTCAAATTCTTAAATTTACAAAGTTTTAAATTTACAAATTTAGAAAGTCTCTAATTTACGGAGCCTCTAATGTTTCAAATGTACCTAAACATTCAAATGTAAAAATGTTTATGTCTCCAATTTCTAAGATTCCAAAATTCTAGAATTAAAAAATACAAAAATTTATAAATATAAAAATGATCAAATACTGAAATCTTTAAATTTAGAAATTTTCGGTTCAATAAATTCTTAAATTAGCTAGTTTTCGAACGCTATATGGAAGCACCTTTTTCCATATAACCGATAGTGAAAATCTCCCGCAGTTACAACTGCATGCGTAGCAATGTTACGCAACTCTACTGTATCTAACGGTGTCCGCAAGATCTTATGAACGTAAATACTTATTCCTGCTTTAGAATAGCAAACCCTCCCGCAGTTGCAACTGCATGCGTATCGACATAACGCAAGTCTATTGTATCCAACGGTGTCCCCAAGATGCTACAAACGCAAATACCCATTCCTGTTTTAGCCACTTAACGAATATACCGTTGCTTAGGTTTGCGAATAAATTGAGTACTTAATTTGCGGCTGATAAATGCATCGTGGTCGGATCGTTTAGTAAAGCCCTGATACGGATTATTTTCCGATTAGACCGCTTATTGAGAACCAGAGTGGCTCCGTTAAGATACGAGACCAGACGATCTATACAGCGACTTCCTTAATTACGAAACAAGTTCTTTTTACCTCGTTCGAGACGACCGATAAGGGCCTCGGTGTACCGGGCCAGCTTCTGGATAACGAACGACCTTTTCTCTTCCTCACGACCATCCGAGGTCGTCCAGTTCGATTCATGTGTTTCAACATCTTCGTGGATCAAGATTCTTCGTTTCTTGTTGGCTCGATCTTTTCCCTCACCATCTCACTCTGCACCTTTCAGCACACTTTTGTCCCTCATTCTCGTTTCTTTGTTCGTCACTTTCTCTCAAATTCAAACTCCTGTTACCACTGGATCACCAACAAAATTACTCTGTCGAAGAAACACCTTGATCCACCAAAAACATCCACGGTAGTTGGACAATTCAATTTCTCTTTGAGACTCACTTTTTTTTAATAACCACCACTACAATGCACTAATTGTTGCACTAGATTGCGACGCTTGGAACGGCAGTATCAATTGCGATCGATTATCCGATGCTTTCACATTTCTTCAAGTATAATAAGAAACTGAAGTTCTATTGAAAGGAAGAATAGTTTCACAATGGAGAATTTTACTAGTTTCGTTATGATTTTAGATGAATAGAAGATGTTTCAATTTGGTCCAATCCCTAAATTATTTGCAATGTTATTAAAAATAGTAAATGAAGAAAAGTATTAAAAGATGTGGTGACTTTCATATGGTTTTAGAAGATGCAGATAGCGATGTTAGAAGGTTTTATCGTACTTTTTAATAATAGTGAAAATAAGATGAAACACCCTGTATATTGTCAATATAATACTATCACATTCCTTAATGTTTAGTGGCAGTAATGAAGTATTGACAACATTGTATTGACAAGATGTATTGATCTGAGCCTTGAAATGCTGATAACATAAATTGATGATTCGAGATTTGTGTTAGATACATGTACATCACACCTTGACCTCTTCAATTCATTCAAGATCTAATTCTAGTCTGAATTTAGAATTTCGGACTAATTAAAGTTTGAAATTTATTTGCATAATTGAACTAAGGATGACACTTATGTTAGATATACTGAGAATTAATAAGACTGACTTTCCACATTTTAAAATATTTAAATATCCTTAAATAGCAGTTATTTTACGTTATGTTATACTATTCGCTAAGTACAGTATACTTTTATTATTAAAAGGGGACATAAAAATTGTCAACATTTTTATTAATATTTTGTATTTCTGATTAAAATATGCTATATTTTAGTTTAAACATAAATGAAGTAAGTTGATAATTAGACTTAATATATTGTAGCAAAACCATTTACGATATTTATGCAATTACAGTAATCTTTCAAACTTTTTAATTCTCAAATTATCTCTAAATTTTTTAATTTTTAAATTGAAAATTCTTTCTTAAATTCTTTCTGAAATTCATAAATACTCAAATTCCAAAACATGTAATATTCCAAGTTTGAAAACTCGCAAATATTTAAAATTGCAAATTTAAAAATTCGTGAATTAAAAAATTTATTGCTTTAAAAATTTCAAGCCTTGAATTGTAGAATTTCTAAATTTGAGAATTTACTAAGCATAAACAAAATGAAATTCCTGATTCTCTTAAATCGCCATTTGCCTAGAGAATATGTATCTCTACAGTAGTCCTACCACAATCTCTATCTGTAGCCTATTAACTTTCATTTTCGTAGAAATTATAAATATAATTTACCACTTTTGACATAAGACTATCACTGTCAACATTCACAAAGCAAAACTCATCAAAACCTTCATAATTATTTATACTTAAAAGACAGGAACTTTTGCGTACCCCAAACATAATAAAACCTAATTCAATCTCAAATTACAATTCCTCCAAGCAAAGCAATTTTTCAAATACTTTCCACTACATATGTTTAATATTCAACTGATACGAAACATAACAAATGATTCATCACACATTACTTGAAAAAATGTTCACTACAAATTTACAATCGAGGATCACACATTTTTGTCAACTTTTCATCAAATATGTACATACTTAAATGCACAAACGGAGCTCACAGGAAAACACTGATCCTGAATAAGAAATGGCACACCGCGAAACGTCGCTAAGTTACAAAATAACGGAGACTGAATCACCGATAAAAAGCTTTATCGAGAACCGATCGCGGCCAGATAAAAATTGTAAATATATCTTTGGAGAGATTATGAGAGTAGAAAATTGTGAATCGTACAAGATGGCCTGCGTCCGAGATCGAACGCACGCACGGTCCCGAGCACATCGCGGGTCACGATAAACTGAATCGTTCACGATTCTTCAGGGCCAAAGAGTGACTCGACTGGTCGTCACGTGACTACGCACACAGTGACGTAGAAGAACACGACCACGATATCGCCCTGTCAGATCGTATGGGACACGTTAAATGGAACGGCTGTGATAGCGTTATCACTGTCTAATGGAGAACGTTGACTATGACTTTTTACGATTTTCGATGAACCAACGTTCGAATCACCGAAATTTTACGAAAATTCAGTTGCACATGTGCCGAAATGATTTGCACGAGTTTCAATTTTACTATATTCGTCCGGAAACACCATATTTTAAGTTCTTTTTTATTATTTATTTATTAAATTGCATAATATACACATTTTTATTATATGATATTGTATTTAATATAATTATTGTTATATTATAGTTTATTTATTTATTATATTATAATTTCCTCATTTATTTGTTTATTATAATATAATTTTTAATATATTATATAATATACTATATAATTTTTATTATATTGTAGAGTATAAAATATAATTTTTATTACTTTTTCTAAAGCAAGACTAACAAGGTTCTCATATGTGTAACAGAAATATAACTAACTGTGTTATAGATATCTATATTATTATTTATAATTTATAGTAACATGTATATTTGTCTGTACTTACTTTTGTCAGTATACATTTCGACTATGTTAATGTTACCTGATATTATCAATGTTTTCTTGGTTATTAAAGTTCCAAAATTTCAAGGTCCCAAGATTCGAAATACATAATGTGAAAAGTTTCTAAATTTCAAAGTTCTAAATTTAAAAGATTCATACATTTCAAAGTTCCAAAGTCTTAAAAGTCCTAACGCATTAAAATTCAAATGATCAAAATTGCAGTTTCATTGTTCACAAATTCTAAAATTCGAGTTTGATGTACCAAAATTTCAAAATTCTAAATTTATAAAATTCCTAAATTCCAACGTTCCGAAATTCCACAAATTCCCAAAAATCTAAAAATTCTCAATATCTCTAAAACTTCAAAAATTTCCAACGTTCCTCAACCTAAAAAAACCTGAAATCATAAATTTCCACGATTTCAAAATTCGAAACATCCGAGGTAAGTAATTGTCCCTGAAGTCTCTAATATCCCTAAAGTTCCTGATGTTCCTAAAGTTGCTAAAATGCCAAAATCCGAAACATTCATAGTATCAAAAATACAAAAAATTTAAATTCCCACAATTTCAAAGCATGAAAGTGGAAAAACTTTCAAAGTCCCAAAATCAGTAGTTTCCAGCTCCTCTAAATTCAAAAATCTTGATATACCAAACTTTCAAAATCCGGAAATCCTGAAATTGCCTAAATGCAACTGCATCTGACAGAATGACAGAATTAACCTCGAGCTAATTATAATCAATATTTCGAGGCTGAACATTGTAAAAGGTGAGAGTTGACTCAGTAATTAATTTCATTTACGCAGATTACGTTGAAATTGTAATTAGAATGTTACAAAGGTTAAGAGAATAAACAGGGAAATGTACCAGAGAACTGTGATAAAATAGCACATAATAATTCATAGCTTGACATCATAAAAAGAAGGAAGACCGTAAAAGATGAATGTTCAACTTTTCAAGGTATATTCACCTACACACCATGTCACTTGATATTGTAATTATAGAAATTGAAGAGAAAGATAGCAAATAGAGAAAAAATAACTCAAAAGTATAGTGGACAAGTATAAACATTGACCTTTCGGTACAGTTAATTGTAAAATCATTGCGAAACTGAAATGTTAGAATTGTAATATGAGAAGCTTGGAAAAATTGTATTTTTATCGCCATTTCGAAAATGAAAAACAATAGCACAGGTTAAATGTTAATGTTCTTTCTGCTTACGTAAGTTATGTTCGCCAAGAAAAATCGTGCTTTTAAAATAACAACCGAATGTTATATTTGCACGATTTTATATTTGAAAATTTGAAATTCGTTGTGATATGCATGAACGTTCTAAAAGAGTCAATAATAATTCATTTATTTAGGAATCTGGATTCCGTCACCGTTCTGACGTATATTTCGTATTTGTAAAAAGAAAAGAGGTATATTCTGTCGAGCTGGCAGAATTCCTTTTAAATGTAACCAGACGTGAAGAACAACAAGATAGGTGATAAATTATTCATGCAACAAAGCAGTTGAATAAACGTGCGTCACATGTTACGTTATAACTGATATCAGTTATACTTTTAAGGAAGAAACGATTAAATAGTATATTTTATACTGTAATACTACTTTCAACTTTGAATTGTATATAAATTATTAAAAATAGTATTTAGAAATTTAGAATCATAATAAATTAAGAATGACTAAAAATAGTGCAATGTTTAGCAATTTAACATTATATTTACAAATTTCAAATGTTAGAGTTCTTAAATTGTGAAATTATAAAATTCTCAAGTTCCGAAATTATAAAATTTTTAAACTCTTAAGTTGAGAAATTATCAACCAATTGACAAAGGCAAAAGCGCATATCAGAATCCCGACTTATTTTAGCCTGCAAAAAGATACGTCTTTCGGAAAGCTAAAACACATAAAGCGGTGATTTAAAATCCAATTTACTAGACATTCTTGGGAAGCCTAAAAGTCAGAATAACCTTCGAATAAACCAAACAGCACAGCAAATCACATTCACTTTTCGAGACATTGAAAAAGTACGTAACGCGAGTTGAATTACAACCAAGCAATCTCATATTCCAAGAACAGCGCGAAATTCGACTAAAAAACAACGTTTTTGTTAAAAAAGAAAGTATGTCGTTGTCTAACGCTCTCATTCTCAGACACGTTCTTACAAAATTCAGGCTCTTCGTGATTTTTATGTACGAAACTTGAGGACGTCGTAACACATGGTCTGAACACGTGTCGTAGAAAGCTAGCATATGTATGTGCATACAGTAGGCTGATGCTTATTTAACCAAAAACATTTTTTCTGTTTTTTTTTTATACACCCTGTCAATGTGTTCACCCTTATGAATAAATAGTATGTTATTTTCTAAATACTTTTTAACATTAAACTATTCAATTTTGTATTTTCCAAGAGATAAAATGTAATTTTTTTCTCGATATATTACAATGTTGAAATACGTTTATTTCAATATTATAAAAATAATAATATTGAAATATAAAATGAAAATAGTAATATTGAAATGTTATTAATAAATTTGTGAACCACCAATTTTCAAAAAATAGTACCTCACATTTATAAAAATCCATTTCGAAAACAATATCATTAGATGAATAACATCGATT